ATGAAAACTGACAAAGAAATTGTCGGCACCTTGCTGGGCTTCGATGACTTCGTCAGTATCTTTTAATTAAAACGTGTCCAGATGAGCGAGTTAGTGCACACCTAAACACCAACAATGTACAAAGTCTTACTGATCTTACTGTATTGCGCTGTACACACCATCGACTGTTTGAAGTCATCCATGCTGTGAGGTGGAGCCGATGCAGTACGAGAACTATTGTGTTACTTTTTGTTTCTGTTTTATTTAGAAATGTGAGCGAGGACAGTTGCAGAATACCATTGGCATGAAAAGTGTGTAGATCTGTACAAACAAGGGACAAATAGACTGATCAAAAAATTTAAGGAAACAGTCAGTCATCACACTACAACACAGTTCAACTTCAGGCATGTCAATCTATCCAGATAGGAGTAATAAACCATGGTAAATCTATTTCAGCCAAATTGGTGCAAATTAAAGTAACAACAGGTGTAGCAGATGGTGGCCACAGACCATTTCCCTCTGCTGTCAGATCTCATTCTGGTGCAGTGGGGCCTGGGTTCCTCCTGCTGTAGGGCTTCTTTCATTTTTACTCTTAAAAGTCTGATGGGGTATTATCATCACCTGAGTGGGCACCTTGGAAACCCAAGTTTGTGAATCCGATAACTTAAGAGGGAAGTCAGCTAGGATTTTCAAATGGATAACATTGTTGCATCTTCTAAAAATCTTTGAGTTTGAATCTGGGTGACCTTGTCCTCAAGGTCAGAGTAAGTTTTATGAAATTCTTGTGAATGCGATAACTTGAGAATGAGGGGACATAGGATTTTAAATTGACACCACAGTTGTGTCTACTAGGATGAGGAGTACCACTGGTGGCCGCCAGTTAATTCATTAATTAGTTAATTAACTATTAGAGATTAATAGGAAGTAGAAAGGCTTCTGTGGATGGGCGCTGGTGCTGCTCACGTCCACGTCTCCACATCCTCCTGCTCGTTTGTGTAAAGCTTTTAGCTGCACTTTGATGTCTCTTTACTGTTTATTGTTGCACAGTTTGTCTTTAACTGTGTGTGTCAGACATGGTCCTGGAGGATGTGACAGAATTGTAAGTACTCCTGTTACATTTTTACTCTAACTACACCTTTTCTCGGGTTCACCGCTGACTATATTTATAAACAAATGTGTTGCAGTGAAATAACACCAGAGGGGAGGAGGATAACCAAGCTCGACCAGATCCTCCTCAATGGCAATAACATCACCATGGTAAACAAACAAACGCCTGATCGTGTCCCATAATCTCCCCCGGTGTTTTAAACCTTCACAGGCTGATATATGGCTGCATATTTTCTCTTCTGCAGCTCATCCCCGGTGGAGAAGGACCAGAAGTGTAAATGCCCGGAGGCCGGTTAACCTTCCTGTGTTGCTGTTCCTGACTTTATTATATAATTATTATTGTTGATGTCTTGTTTTTTCTTTGGGTTTTTCCTCCTGATCCTGAATGAGAAAGATATTTTTGTAATAAGATTCCTCACTGATGAGAGGTGCACATGCTGAAAAGTTTTTCTTTGTTAAAAATAAATCCGAGGATGTCACACAGTCTGAAAAACACTTTTCTTTATTCATTCTTTACCACACAACTTAAAATTTAGTGCAAATCTTGGTATAAAACCAAAGTGTTACCATGAAACAGCAGAACTAAAAAAAACCATCCAGTTGTTTATGTATTTATTTTAAATGTTTATCAAACAAAGAGCCGGATACTTGATTGATATTGAGTTTAGCAGGTGATCAATGCAGCTGAAGGTTGTTTAAATTCATCCCAGTGGCTTTTCCCGTTCCCCGGGAGCCTCAGTACATCGAGGGCTTCTCCTCTCCTTTTGGGTTGGTCACCTTCTCCAGGTTTTTGCTGATGATGTCATAAAGCTCGGCCTGAGGAGAATAAGCAGAGATGCAGATTAATAATTGACTTACAGCAGCTAAAAATACATCGTTAATGATTAAAAAACTGATTTTCAAACAGTTTAATCTTAGAAAAACTCATATTTTATTTAAGAT